GATTATTTTTTGGGGAAGTGGAACTTTTAGAAAAGAACATAGGATTGAGAGGACAAAGTCTTTGGTTTTGAGAGAGACCACTGAGAATCAATTTATTGATTATTGCTAGTCTCATTAATAAACTGAGTATTAATTACCCAGAAAACTAAAAGAGAGGATATGGGATTACTCTGGGGATACAAGTCGGGGTTGCAAACCAGCTGTTGTCCCCAATTGAATACAGCATGGTGCATTGTTTCATTGTCGTTCAGTCACGTCCAACTTTTTGAGACCCCATTTAGGGTTTACTTGGCAAAGACACTGGACTGGTTTCCCATTTCCTTCTCCAGTTCATTTTACAGATGAGGAAACTGAGACAAACAGGGTTAAGTGACTTGCTCAAGGTCACATGGCTAGTAAGCATCTGAGGCCAGATTTGAACTCAGGGAGATGAGTCTTCCTGACTTGAGGCCAGCACTCTATGCACTATGGCACCCCCTAGCTGTTTACTATAGGTACTTAATTAAATGTTAGTTGACTGACTAATAACAAAAGTGCTTTAAAGTTTTCAGAATAAATTACATCAATAATTTCATTTTATTCTCACAACCAATCTGGGAGCTGAGTACTATTATCCTCATTTTCTAAATGAGGAAACTGAGGCTCAGAGCAGTGAAGTGACTTGCCCAGAGTCCCACTTCTAGCTCATATGTGTCTGAGGGAAGATTTGAACTCAGGTCTCTCTATCTCCAACTGCCTCCCAAACTGAAGAGTTCTTTTCCATCTAAGATGCTCTAGAGTTAAGATATTTAAACTAAAGAGTGATGCAATCTCATTATCAAGGTATAATCATTGGTGGCAAATAATCTAACTACTGGTTATATGATGAAACATTCAATTAGACAGGCATCTATTAATATCCCACAAGATGCCTAGTATGAAGCGACATGCTGTTTGGGGTTCTTAACCTTTTTTGTGTCCGAGACCTCTTTGGCAGTCAGTCTGGTGAAGCCTGTGGAGCTCTTCTCAGTATAAGATTTTTAAATGCATAAAATAAAGTACAGAGGATTACAAAGGAAGCCAATTATATTGAAATAGCTATCAAAATATTACAAGATTTTAAGTTCACGAACCCCAAGTAAGAACCTCAGGTTTAGGGGTTGGACAAATGTGCAATATATCCATAATGTGTCATCAAAAGCTCTGCAAGATAAGCTATAGCCTCAGCATTTAATGAGAAGTGAAAATACCAATACAGAATTTACGTTCCTGCTTTAATAAGAGAAACAAAGCCCCACGATCTAGTCCTTACAGACTTGTCTAGTTTATCAGGCTAAAGTGGGCATAATCCAAGGAAGGAAGAAGGAATGACTTTTAACAGAACTCAAGGGGAGGGACCAAACATTTCTTTTTTTTTAATATAAATTTATTTATTTTTAGTTTTCAACATTCACTTCCACAAGTTTTTGAGTTCCAAATTTTCACCCCATCTCCCCTCCCCCCACCCCAAGATGGCATATATTCTGAATACCCCTTCCCCTAGTCTGTCCTCTCTTCTATCTCTTCTCTCCCCCCCCACCTTCTCTTATCCCCTTCCCCTTCTATTTTCCTGTAGGGCAGGATAGACTTCTGTACCCCATTTCCTGTATTTCTTATTTCCCAGTAGCATGTGAAAACATTTTTTTAAACATATGTTTTTAAAACTTTAGGTTTCAAATTTTCTCTCTTCCTCCCTTCCCACCCACCCTCATTGAAAAGGCAAGCAACTCCATATAGGTTGTACATGTGCAGTTATGCAAAACACTTCCATAGTAGACATGTTGTGAAAAACTAACTCTATTTCCCTTAATCTTATCCTGCCCTCCCATTTATTCTATTCTTTCTTTTGACCCTGTCCTCCTCAGAAGTATTTACTTCTGATTACCCCTTTCCCAATCTGCCCTCCTCTCTATCATCCCCCTGCTCTCTTGTCCCTTCTCCCCCTATTTTCCTGTAGGGTAAGACAGATTTCCACACCCAATTGAATGTGTATGTTATTCCCTCCTTAAGCCAAATCCTATGAGAATAAGATTCACTCATTCCCTCTCACCTTCCCCGTTTCCCCTCCACTGTAAGAGCCTTTTCTTCTTTTTTTTGTGAGATAATTTACCCCATTCTACCTCTCCCTTTCTTCTTCTCTGAGTATAATCTCCTCATCCCTTAATTTTATTCTCCAGATATGACCCCTTAATCTTCAACTCACCCTCTATCTCTATCTATCTATCTATCTATCTATCTATCTATCTATCTATCTATCTATCTATACATACATATAATTTTTTTCCTCAACTACCCTAATACTGACAAAGGTCTCATGAGTTATAAATATCATCTTTCCATGCAGGAATGTAAACAGTTCAATCTTAATAAGTCTCTTATGATTTCTCTTTCCTGTTTACCTCTTCATGTTCCACTTGAGTCTTGTATTTGAAAGTCAAATTTTCTATTCAGCTCTGGTCTTTTCATCAGAATGCTTGAAAGTCCTCTATTTCACTGAATGACCATTTTTTCCCTGAAGGATTATACTCAGTTTTGCTGGGTAGGTGATTCTTGGTTGTAATCCTATCTCCTTTGCCCTCCAGAATATTATATTCCATGCCCTGTGGTCCTTTAATGTAGAAGCTGCTAAATCTTGTGTTATCCTGATTGTGTTTCCACAGTACTTCAGTTGTTTCCTTCTGGCAGCTTGTAATATTTTCTCCTTGACCTGGGAACTCTGGAATTTGGCTATAATATTCCTAGGAGTTTTCCTTTGGGGATCTCTTTCAGGAGGAGATCTATGGATTCTTTCAATTTCTATTTTGCCCTCTGGTTCTAATATATCAGGGCAGTTTTCCTTGATAATTTCTTGAAAGATGATGTCTAGGCTCTTTTTTTGATCATGGCTTTCAGATAGTCCAATAATTTTTAAATTCTCTCTCCTGGATCTATTTTCCAGGTCAGTTGTTTTTCCAATGAGATATTTCACATTGTTTTCTAATTTTTCATTCTTTTGGATTTGTTTTACAGTGTCTTGATTTCTCATAAAGTCACTAGCTTCCAATTGCTCTATTCTAATTTTTAAGGAAGTATTTTCTTCAGTAATCTTTTGGACTTCCTTTTCCATTTGGCCAATTTTTCTTTTTAGGGCATTTTTCTCCTCATTGGCTTTTTGGACCTCTTTTGCCATTTGGGTTAGGCTGTTTTTTAAGGTGTTATTTTCTTCAGTATTTTTTTGGGTCTCCTTTAGCAAGCTGTTGACTTGTTTTTCATGATTTTCTTGCATCACTCTCAGTTTTTCCTCTACTTCCCTTACTTGCTTCTCAAAATCCCTTTTGAGCTCTTCCAAGGCCTGGGACTGATTCATATTTTTCTTGGAGGCTTTGGATGTAGGAGCTTTGACTTTGTTGTCTTCTTCTGGTTGTATGTTTTGATCTTCTTTTTCACCAAAGATATTATAGTCTTACTCTTTTTGTGCTGCTTGCTCGTGATCCTGGCCAATTACTTGAGTTTTAAACTCTTTGTTAAGGTATAAATCTGCTTCCAATGTGGAGAATGTACTGTCCCAAGCTTCGGGGGTTTGTACAGCTGTTTTCAGAGATACTTGTAGGGACCTGTAAATTTTCAGTTCTTCCAAGGTGGTATGATAAGGGGCGAGGTGTTTACTCCTTTCCTGGCCGGTGACCACAAGTATTCCTTTCCGTTCTGTAACTGTGAGGAGGGGTTTCTCTCCATAGCCACTACAAGCTCCACCATGCAGCACTCCTCCTCACCCCAGCACTGTTGCCCAGAACAGTGACCCAGATCCAAACACGGGCAAAGCAAGAGATTCCTGCCTCAGCACTGGCAAAGAGATCCCTGCGATCCCTTTCTGATCAGCCACTGGATTCCCCCTCAGTCTGTGGGCCGGAAGCTCAGGAAGCAGCTGCCCCCCCCCCAGGGCCACACTGTTGGGGAAAGGAGCTGAAACCCCACCTTCCTGTTTCAGCACCAACAGAAACAGACTTTTCCCACTGACCTTCTAAGTTGTCTTTGGCATTCACGGATTGAGGAGTCTGGAAACCTCCACAGCTGCCCACGATTCAGTCCTCTGAGGCCTGCTCCAGGTTTGTAGCGGCCTGTGCGCCCACACTGCGCTGCACTCCCAGCCCGGTGCGATACAACTTTCTGATAAATCTTCCAGGTTGTCTTGGGCTGGAAATTTGTTTCACTCTGTCTTTTTGTGGGTTCTGCTGCTTCAGAATTTGTTTAGAGCCATTTTTTATGGGTATTTGGAGGGGTTTGGGGGAGAGCTCAAGCAAGTCACTGCTTTCACTCCGCCATCTTGGCTCCGCCCTGACCGAGCATTTCTTAAGCACCTACTATGTGCCAGACGCTGTGCTAAACTCGTCACAGATAATATCTTGTGTTATTCTCACAATGGTCAATCAAGGTAGGTGCCATTATGATTTCCATTTTACAGTGAAGGAAACTGAGGCAGATGGAGGTTAAGTGACTTGCTCGAGATTGCAATGTGTCAGGCACTAAGCTAAGCATTGGGGCTACAAAAAAGGGCAAAAGACAGCCCTTATCCTCAAGGAGCTTACAATCTAATAAGGGAGACAACATGCGAACAAATACACACAAAACAAACTATACAGAGGATAAATAGGAAATAATTAACGGAGGGATTAGGGAAGATTTCCAGTAAAAGATAGGATTCAGTTGAGATATAAAGGAAGGCAGACAGAGGTCAGTAGTCAGAGCAGAGGAGGGAGAGCATTCCAGGCATGTGGGACACCCAGAGAAAATTCCTGGAGCTGAGACAATATAGTGTCTTGGTGGAACAGCCAGGAGGTCCGTGTCACTGCTTGTGATCTGACCTACACAAATCAGTGCACCAAGGTGTTTTTCTCTCCCCAGATGCACAAAATACAATGGCTTTTCTCTCTTGAGAACACATATTAAAAAAAAAAATACATCATTGGGACTGGTCCTAAAAGATGCACACTCTCCCTATTCAGGCTCTTCCAAGATAAAGATTCCCTGGGGTCTTGTCTTCAGAATTGGATACACTACCAACTGCAATTGTTGTTGTTTGTCCTTCTTTCTGGAAGAGGATCTTGACATCAAGGAGGTGATGCTGGGCAAGTGCCATGCAAGTGAATTGGATTTAAGTGAAGAAGGCTGTACAAAGCCGGCAGCCTCCCTTTCTCCTCCGGAGCCACTTGGGTCCAGCTATGACATGGGGAATTAGATCAAATCAGATACGTAGCTTTTGGATTTTGTTGGCTAGGATCAGTAGGCAGTCTTCCCTCACAGAGCGACATTAGCTAATGAAGACATGGGTCTTCTTCAGCCTCGTACCTACTTATCCCCTCAGTTCCAGTGTCTTTCTAAATAGCCTCTGCCAGGATTAATTTCATTGTGAGAAGGTGATTTCATTAATTATCTGCTTTCAGCCTCACATCACTGCCAGCTGCCCCTGCCATCATCACTTCTGAGGTCAATTCCATGGGAAGTTGACATTTCCCACTTGCAGATGTACTGAACTGATAAAATCCTCCTGGCTTCAGTAAATTCCATTAGCATTTCTATTGGAGACTCAAACCTAAAAGCTATTGTGTCTGTTTCCACAAATCTTTGCTACTGAATTGTCAGCTTTGTGAAGGCAGGGACTATATCTCAGAGTCATAAGATCATAGAGCTTGAAGGGAGCTTAGAGACCATTCAGTACAATTCTCTCATTTTACAGATGAGGAAACTGAGGCCCTAAAAGATTTAATGATTTGCCCAAAGAAACACAGGTAGTAAACATTATTTTTGTGTGTCCAGTGCCTTTACAGAATTAGTATTTATAAATGTTTGTTGTCGAATTGAATTGCTGAATTAAATTCTTTCAAAGATTACTTATGTAATGGCCCCACTCAGCTTAACTGATCAAATTTTTAACTCTAAAAGAGCATTGTAATAGGGGAAGGGAATAAGCATTTTTATTGTATCTACTATGTGCTAGGCATTGTACTAAACACTTAACAAATATAATCTCATTTGTTTCTCATTACAACCCTGGGAGGTAGGTGCTATTTTTAATCTCATCTTATGGTTGAGGAAAGTGAGGCAAACAGGTTATGTGACTTGCCCAGGGTCACACAGCTGGTAAACATCTGGGGCTGGATTTGAACTCATGTCTTTTTGACTCCAGGTCCCAGTGTTCTGTCCACTGTACCACCAGCTGCTTCTTAGCAACAGTAATAGTTACAGAATAATTCTGTTTTTCTCTTAATCAAGTATTTTACAGGCAAAGGTATACACACTCAATCTCTTTTTTTTCTTTACCATCCATATTCGTGTAATCCATTATATTCATATAAATGTAAGATGGACCCAGGAACTCAAAATGGCCAGTATTTTAAAATAAAAATTGCACGTTCTCAAAAAATTGAGAACAATCCATATGGAAAACAAAACCCTATCAACAAAATAAAAATTAAAGCAAAACAAATTCTCTTTCCATCAGCCTTCCAACTGAATACCATCATGTAAGGTAGGAAGAATATGTTTTTTAGACTGAGGGGAAATGGGTAACCACGGAGGGCTGAAATACCAACCCCAAGTCTCAAGTAGCCTAAAAGCCATCATCTCTAACTGAATATATTCTAAAGCTCTCATTTATGGTATAATCAACGGACAACAACCAGTTCTTAATTCCCCAGCACAAAGCCTCCATGTGCAATGCAGTGACACAGTTTTATACCCATCAGTTTATCCTGGAGAAATCAGCAGAACTGTTCAGTGCAGCACGGGAGCTGAACTGTCTTCCTCAGAAAGGAGTCTTTCCTTTCATTTCAGTCCTCCACCAATGTGGTTGACATGAAAGGATTCAAAGACTCTTGTCATTTAAAACCAAAGGGGGTTATTTGGCCTCATAGCCCTTTGTATTTGTAGACTCTCACCCTAACATCACCAGCATTCACTTAGTAATGTATTTGATTCCATTAATGCTGAGCTTATGGTTGGCAAAGAGAATAGAAAACCCAAAGATTAAACTATTCTATCTTTTCTGACTCTGTATCTCTTTCCCTTCCTCTTTCTTCCCTCCTCTCTCTTCCCCCACCCCTCTCTTCCTTTCTCTCTCTCTCCCCTTCCCTCTCTCTCCTTTTTCTTTCTTTCTTTCTCTCTCTCTCTCCATTTTCCTCTTTCATATTATGAACTTGACAAATATCAATAAACATAAGCATCTCTCTATACAAAGAACAGGAAAAAACTGTACATGAAACCAAGAATCTGTACTACTTCCCAGCTTGTTTTTAATTTTAACTTTTATATTTTGAATTTAGCACAGTAGTTTCAACATTTTCCTGCTTGTCTACATCCTCTTCTAAATTTCCTTCTTCACTCTTTTGTATATTTTAAAATGATTCACTGATGGTATTTGCTTGCTTTCTTTTTTCCACTAAATATATAGCTATACATACATATACATATATACATATATGGAGAGAGAAAGAGAGAGAAGAAGAGGAGAGGAGAGGAGAAGAAATTTTTAGGGGTATTTATATAATACGGTTATATATTATATATAAATATGTATATATTAGACAATATGTGTACATAATACACATGATATATAATATGTATATTATACAATATGTTACATATAACTATACTATAGATATAAATATTACTACCCTTTATTCCTCTTCCTAATTCTCCCCATCCCGAAAGGGGACATTCAATCTTAAATCTCTGTTTTCTCAAGAGGATTTGATATATGTAGGAATAGGATATAGCTCGGTTAACCTGAATATACCAACTATCATCATGATATTCTGTTTATGGTGATGGTGAGCCCAGTAGAAGGTAAACTACTTGAGGGTAGGGGTGATTTTGTTTTCTGTTTCTGTCTTTGTGTTCTGAGTGCCTAGTGCAGCGCCTAGCTCCTATGGAGGAGTGTCTAGATCTGTGACTTCATGTGGTATGCAGAACTCCCAGATACATATACACACATATTTTATATATTATTTATAATATATTTGTTTTATATATAGTTACATATAATTTTATAGGTATACATACTTTTTATTTTCATTCATATAATTGGTTTCCTTCATAAGCTTATGTTTTTCATTTTCTACATTTAAAATCATTATTCTGAGATGATTCATAGGCTTCCTAAGACTGCCAAAGGGGTCTCTCACACACAAAGAGTCAAGAATGCCTGGACTATAGGACCTCCAATGTCCCTTCCAACTCCACAATTCTGTCATCACGGGATTCTGCTTAGCTGTTGCCAGTCCTGAACTCAGCCTCAGCGGGCCAACTCAGAGGAGAAAATACATAATCATAAAAGTTCACCGAAGCTACAAAATTAGTACTAGTTACCATCCACAATTCAAAGACTTCTCTTCTACACATTCTTTGGCAGTTCCAGATAATCCCATCAGCTCTCTTTCATGACTAGAATTCAGAAACCAGAAAGTTTTGGGGTTGGGAAAGGTATGTGCATCTTCTCCAGGCATCAAGTAAAAAGGCAGTCATATAACCAGGTGACAGTTGACAACTGACACATGCCGCCCAAGAGTTGAAGATCTGTGTTTCCATGACACATATTATGCTGAAAGACACTGGATACATAGAGATATCCACATTCAGGGTAACCTAACCACATGGAAATGAACCAAAAGGAAGGCTGAGAAAGGTCCCATGATGCTTTGCTGTCACCATTTCTCCAGGTTGCAGGAAAATTGCCACTGCTGAATGACTGGCCCACTTCCATTTCTGATCCCTCCATCTTCTGGCTGACATCCCAAAGGTTAAATGAATTTTTGGATTGGAAAAGCACAATTTGTCACAGAAGCCACATATCAGGATGCTAGAGAAAAGTGTGTGTGTGTGTGTGTATGTGTGTGTGTGTGTGTGTTTTCTTGATTTCTTTTTTCATACCTCTTTCCTCCTTTTTTTTTTTTTTGCTTTTTGGTGAGGTACTCAGGGTTAAGTGACTTGCCACATAGCTAGTAAGTATCAAGTGTCTGAGGCCAGATGTGAACTCAGGTCCTCCTGACTCCAAGGCCGGAGCTCTATCTACTGTGCAACCTCGCTGTCCCTATGTGTTTTAATATAGGCTAATTTTATAAGAATTCAGGTCTGAAGTAGTTTTCAACAAGAGTCAGGTTAGGTCAAGTCAACATTTCTTTAGTATCTACCATGTGCGAAGCACTGGGAATACAAAGAAAGGCAAAACCATTCTCTGCCTTCAAGGGGCTCATATTCTAACGAGCCCAAATTGCATGTACAACCTACCAGAAGCGCACTTCATACTAAGCATGAGGATAGACACAAAAGAAAGAACTCTGGATCTAATGTCAGAAGACCTGAGTTCAAATCTCACTTTGGCCACTTACTACCTAGGTGACTTGGGTCAAGTCAATTCCTCTCTCTGGGCCTCACCTATGAAACAAGAAGGTTGAACTAGTAGAGGAATGCAAAGGTCCCTTCAAGCTCTAAATCTAGGACAGACTAGTCTGCCTGAAGGAACGTCCTAAAATATACTGGTTATGCCCCTTTTAGGGTATTTAACCACATTCTGCCTTGTGTCATAATCATGAGAGAAGCAATACTTGTGTTATGGCTAGAGGGTTGGCCTTGAAATCAGGAAGACCTGACTTCAAGTCTTACCTTAGACACTCATTAGCTGTGGGATTGGCTAAATCACTTTAACTTCTCAGTGCGCCAAGCAACTCTCTGACATAAATTACAAAAGAGTTGCTAATCTAGATCAGTGGAAGGCATACTAGAGAAACCACAGGTCCAGATTATTTCTATCCCTATCTGTCTATGTAATGGATATATCTACATATCTATATCTATCCATATATAGTATGAGTGAGGTGTGCATATATACTGAGAGAGGGGAGAAAGAGAGCATGGGTAGGAAAGAGAGAGAGAAAAATGAAGGGAGAGAAAAAGAGGGAGAGAGGGAAGAAGAGAGAGAGAGACAAAGACAGAGACCGAAATGAGAGAGAAAGAAAGGGAGTAAGGAAGGAAGGAAGAAAGGGAGAAAGAAAAGAAGGAAAGAAGAAAAGAAGGAAAGAAGGAAGGAAGGCAGAAAAGAGAGCGAGTAATGAGATTCCCAACCAGTGGGTCAGGGCTCTCTGGGGAGCCACCATAAGGAGTCTATTAGTCCATAGCACGTGTATCTTTGTCTTAATTTCACTCCAAATCCAAATTTTAAAGTAGCTGAATGTGAAGCCAGATCTAAGGTTGAACCTCATCACTTCAGCTGAACTTCCCAATTCTGAGAACTGCAAAATGCCCTCTAGGCAGTACACTAAATTATTCAGTGTAATTGGCCTCAGAGGTCCCTTACAGCTCTAAACCTGAGGTCCTGTGATCCTAAGTGAACAACATGGTACAGTACAAAGATTGTTGGATTTGGGATTAGTGGCCCTGGGTTCAAATAATGACTCTTCTAAGGTACTGCCTTAGTGACAAGTCACTTGGGTTCTCTAGATCTGAGCTTCCATATCTGTCAAATGATGGAGCTGGGCTAGGTGACCACTAAGTGTCCTTTCATCTCCAAATCCACGATACTTCTATTGACTGAATCAACGGTCTGGCACATACAAGTATAAGAAGGAACTGGCCAAGGAAGACCTATGTGGAAGTTGGGATGCTACACAAATATTACCATTTTTCAAGTGTATGAAATAATAATAACTAGCATTTATCTACAGCTTTAAGGTTTGAAAGGTGCTTTACAAATATCATCTAATCTTCACAACAACCTTAAGAGGTAGGTGATATTGTTATCTCCACTTTACATATGGGGAAACGAAGAAAGACAGAGGTAAATGACTTGCCCAAGGGCCTGGAGTCAGGAAGACTTGAGTTCGAATGTGGCTTCAGATACTTAGTAGCTGTGTGACCCTGGGCAAGACACTTAACCCTGTTGGCCTCAGTTTCCTCATCTGTAAAATGAGCTGGTGAAGGAAATGGCAAACCACTCCAGTATCTTTGCCAAGAAAACCCCCCACAATAACAAAAACACAGCTAGTAACTGATGGACACAGGACTTGAATTCAGCTCTTCTTGACTACAAGTCCAACATTCTATTCACTACACCACCTAGCTGTAGATGTTCATGGGATCATAAGAACATAGGGACCGCAGAGGCTCTGGTCCAACATCCTCATTTTACGTATGAGCACACTGAGGCTCAGCTAGATTAAATGACTTGGCTACATAATATAGTTAGTGGAAGATCCAAGATTGTAGTATTATAGATTTCTAGTTACAAGGTCCTTTAGAAGTCACCCATGCTAACTCCCTCAAGTTACAGATGAAGAAACTGAGGCCCAAAAAATTCAAATGACTTCTAAGATCACAAATTTATTTTGTTTTTTTGTTCGTTTGTTTTTTGGGCTAGGCAATGGGGTTAAGCGACTTGCCCAAGGTCACACAGCTATTAAGTGCTATGTGTCTGAGGCCGGATTTGAACTCAGGTCCTCCTGAATCCAGGACTGGTGTTCTATCCATTGTGCCACCTAGCTGCTCCCTAAGATCATAGATTTAGAGCTGGAGGGACCTCAGAGGCCATCTAATCCAAATCTTTCACTTTACAGATAGGGAAACTGAGACCAGGGAATTTAAGTGACCCACCCCACATCCCACAGGCAGTCCACATCAGCAGCAGAATTGGTTCCAACCTCTAACTGTAAGTCGGCAATCTGTCACTCACACCATGTATTTAGAAGTGTTGCTAAATTCATAATATTTTTTCTTATCATGGCTTTTTTACAAATATTAAGAGTATAGTTTTAGAGAGAAGTGGACTACAGAAGGGAGTTTTTTGCTAGTTAATCACCAGCACTGTGAGAGGAAATAGAGGGTAAGATATTGTCATGCCCTTTCCAATAACAATGATGATAATATCAATTTGATTACTGTTCCTGAGGTAGAAGTGAAATGAAAGGTGGCCTTGTGACATAAAAAAAAGACAATTATGAAGAATTCAGACAAACATGATAAGACTTAATAATACCTAGCATTTAGGTAGAGGTTTAGGATTGCAAAGAACTTTATAAATTTTAACTCATTAGATCTCCCACAACAACTCTGGGGGGTAGAAGTTATTATCACCCCCATTTTACAATTGAGGAAACTCAGCTAGATAGTGGTTAAGCGACTTGCCCGAGATCACATATCTAGGAAGTGTCTGAGGCTGGATCTGAACTCAGTTCTTCCTGATTCCAGGCCCAGTTCTCTGTCCTCTGTACCACCTAGCTGATACAATATGAACTGATACATAGGGAGAAGTAAGCAGAACCAGGTAACAATATGCATGATGACTACAATGTAAACAGAAAGGACAATTATATGAATTTGACTGTGGTATAATTGTAATGACCAAGCTTAGCTCTGGAGATGAGAAAACGCATCTCCTTCTAGTCACCATAGAGTTACGGGGCTATAGGTGTGGAACATTACATGTACTTTCAGATTAAATTGATTATGTTAATAAGTTTTGCTGAACCAATTTTTCCTCTCTTCTTTTTTAATCTTTACTAGAAGGGACATCTCTCATTTAGTGTTTAGAAATTATTATGATCAAGCTTAACTCCAAACAAGAGACATGACAATGCACCTCCCCTCTTTTCTTTGTAGACTATGGGTGTTCAACCCTGTATATAATGTTGGACTGGGTAGATGTATTAGTTAATTTTCCAGATCTTTTCTTTTCTCTTTTCAAAATTGTTATAATGGTCATGAGAGGGAAGGGCTATATTGGGAAATAAAGGCAATGAAAAAAAAAACAAAAGATAAAAAACTTAAAAGGGGGTGGCTTTCTTGGAAGGTGAAGAGAGAAGGGTATATCCAGAAATGAATGAGATGTTAAAAACAAAAGGCATCAATTTTTTTAAAAGAAGGGAACATTAATCAGTCATTGCACTGCTAAATAATCGTTCCACCCAAAATACTTGAGCCTCAGATACCAAAAGCATTTTCACATTAACACTCGTTTACCTTCAACAATCCCTGTGTTATCTGGGTCAATGTCCCTGGCTGATGTAACCAAGAGTCATCATCTATTAGAGGCACATGGGCTCTTGGCTCAGGCTGGATTTCTAAACATCCCCATGATCCTGGTTTGCAAAAACAGCCAGAAAAGCCAGGAAGCTTCAGCAAACAATTCCCCAGCCTAAGTCTTAAAAACAAACGTTCTTCCTTCTGTCAACATCGCTGTTTTACACAGGCTTAGGAAGTGATCCCGTCTGTTACAGAACAGAGATGAGATAACAGGAAGCAGCCTCAGATTCCACAGTAATTATTGTTGCTTATTATTGGCACACCATATAAGGTCCCAAGCAGATGGCATGCAATGTTTGATTAAGGGATCAGCCTGCAAGCCTAGCAAGGAGGACCTTTTCCCTCATAAATATGGAGATAACGCCAGGAAGAAAGAAGAATATAAGATGTACTTAACATTGATGCGGTACTCAGTTTTACTGAATGTTTAATGAATCCGTCTTAGCAACAATGGATGGGTCCTTCACCCACATCTTCTCATCCCGTGCTAAAACATGTCCATTTGCTTTCATAAATCCTCCACAGAAGATCATTCAAGTGTGTAAGAAGCCTTGCTTAGCACTTTTAACATTCTATGGTTACCAGGAAAGAACTTGGGCTAGCCTTCTGGTACCCTTTGCAATTGCTACAAACCCAGCTCACTTACTTTTCTGATCAAATATGAATGGTTGAATGAGTGAATGAATTAGAAAGCATTTATTAAATACTTCATCCCCAGAATTATGCTAAGTCCTGGATGTATGATAGATAGATAGATAGATAGATAGATAGATACATAGATAGATAGATAGATAGATAGATAGATAGATACAATGAATGAATAGATGAAAGTGATAGATATACAGAGAGAGAGATGAGATAGACATACAGACAGATGAAATAGATGTTCAGACAGAGAGATCAAATAGTCAGACAGATAAATAGAGGAGATAGATGATAAATAGATGAGATAAATACACAGATAGTAGAAAGGGGTAGATGGGATAGATAATATAGACAGAAAGAAAGATAGAGGACATAGATGAAATTAGATATAGATAGATGGATAGATAGATAGATGAGATAGACATACAGTCAGACAGACAAAGGAGATACATGATAGACATGATAGGTAGAGAAAAAGATAGAGGACACAGGTTGATGGAGATAGATGATAGTTGATCTAGATAGACATATAGATACATATATACATGCATGCATGCATACATACATATATACATACAGCATTTATTAAGCACTTATAATATGCCAGGCACTATGCTAAGAGCTAGAACACAAATGCAAAAGCTAAGCTAGCCTCTGCTCTCAAGGAGCTAATATTCTAATAGAGGGAGTCAACACACATAGGGGAGTAGTGGCCAAGGAAGGAAGGATACATCAAGGAAGAGACTGATCTACCCTTTTCAGGAACAACGCAACATTGCTTTGATCATAGTTCCAGAACCGGAGTAGGCAATGGAAGAGAGGGGGAGAGTATTCAAACAGAGGCAAGATTTTGGCAATGCTATCAGGAAGACGACCGGGGAGTAGGGAATAAAATGAAATGTGACTGGAGTCTGCCTGAAATTGTGGGCCAGGAGAAACAATCACCAATCAAGACAGTGAGGAGCCAGAAGATCCAGAGAAGAAAGGGTTAAATGACAACTCCAGGACAATTTCTAGAACAGAAATCTGTCAAAGAGATCTTCTGGAAAATGTGAAGTTAAGACACTTTTCGACTCAAGGTCATCATTGATAATACCCAGCTGCCCATTTCCACCCACCATATGTCTCTTCATTACCCTCTTGGTTACTTGCCATTTTCATTCTTCCAAAACTGTGTTATTTTAGATTGTGGGGCTATTTATGAAAGCTGACACATTTTGATAAAATGAGTATAGACTGTTAAATTATTATGTTTTTTAAAAAGAAAAGCAAGCTATACATAATCAAAATTTATAATTTCATGTAGAATCCTCTTTTCTGTTTAACTATGCATATGGAAATATCCATTTTATTGGTTTTATTCAGTTCAGGACTTTAAAAAAATTTAAGAGAAAAAATATTGCATACACAATGACTTAAAAAAATCTCTGATTCAATTAATGTTAATATTAGAATTTATGGAGTTTGAAGCTGGAATGGAACTTAGCAGTCATCTAGTCCAAGGGCTCTATGTTGAAAGCTTGTGAAATAGTCACCGGATACAAAAATGTGCAAGCAGATTATTAGCAAAGATATAAAATTTCTTACTCTTTGCATATATATTGCTCATACACATACTACTTGTGTTTTAATCTTCATTTAGCCTTTTTGTCCTGATAGTGATGGGGAGTCTATTCTTTGGTCATCTTGGGTTCTTTCTCATTTAGAAATTGTCATAGTCTATTCATTGGAGGAAGAAGAGAATGATAATGTCTTGGGAACTGTTGTGTTAATTCTAAACCTAAAACATTACATATGCTATCCCCTTAGTGGGATGTAAGCTTCCTAAGGGCAGGGACTTCTTATCAATTTGTCTCTGAGCATGAGGGCTGCCACATACTAAGTGATTAATAAATATATTATTATTCTTTCTTTGTATCCTTGGCACCTAGCATAATACCTTACACACAATAAATGTTTGTTGAATTGAATTTGGATTGGGTTGAGTTGGATTGAACTGGACCAGACTTGACTGGTCTGGACTGGATTGAATTGAATAGCATATGTTTGGAAGTATGACATGGAGAGGTGGAAAGAATATTGGCCCTTAAGACAAAAAATCTGAGTTCAAGACCTGGCTCCAATATTTATTAGTCATGTGGCCCTGGACAAATCACAACCTCTAATTCTTTATTAATTGAAGATAGTATTTGCGTCACGTTACCTTTGGAGTTATTGTGAGGAAAACTTTTTGTAAATCGTAAAATAGTATATAAATGTGAATTATACCCACCTCCTCTCCTGACAGTACTCATCATATTGGTGCACAAAAGTGCTATGAAATTGCTTTTGGGTTTAGTATGTCTGGAAGGTGACCAGTAAGAAGATATTGGTTATCAGACACCAGCCTACAGCCTCAGCCTCATCGTAGGCCACTTATACTAATTAATTCCACTCCCAGTAGAGTGAAACATACTTTCCCAATGTGGAGGACAAACAGCTAAAATAAGGGAACTGGAGGCAGATAAGGAGAATAGAGCAGTACACTCTTCTAGGGAATATTGGTATGACAAACCCACCTTGAACTACGGAGAAGTCTGATGTGGCAAAAAAAAAAAAAGCCATTTAGAGTCAGCCAGTCAGGCACTTGGTGAATAAACATTTATTAAGGATTTACTACATTCCAGACAGTATGCTAAATGCTAGAGATACAAGAATAAAAATAAAAATAATGCTCTTGAGGAGTTCCCAATCTAATGGGGGAGGCAACATGCAAATAACTGCTATTTGTAAGCTATAGACAGGATAAATTGGAAGTCAGGGGAACTGATTTTGAATGCTTGCTCTGCCATTTATATTGGTATGACATTGAGCAAATCATTTACTCTGGTCTCATTTTTCTGGTGTATAAAATGAAAGATCTAGGCTAGATCCAGCATTCTTAATGTGGGCTCCATGAACTTGTTTTTTTAAAATATTCATGTTTTCACAAATATATTTCAA